AAGTTTGGCAACACGTAGGTTCGAGACTTCACATCTCAAACTGCACTTGATTTATCCAAACTCCAAACGCTCTTAGGTTGGATGCCATCGCTCTTAGGTTAGTTGGAGGCCTCCGCTCAGGGGTTGGAGGCCATCACTCTTAGGTTGGAGGCCATCGCTCTTAGGTTGGAGGCCACCACTCTTAGGTTGGATTCAACATGTAAGTATGCCACGCGCTGCAGATACAGAAGGAGACAAGTTTGGCAACACCCTAGAAGATTTAGAAGCAGGTTTTGAAGGCAGGTACACAGATTGGTCCCAATCCACATCACGGAGTATTCACAGCTGTCTTCTTGAAGACATGCCGTTACCTTGCGAACAAACAGACTGTGGCGAGATCAATCCGCTCGACAGCGCTGATGTCAATAGAAGTAATAATTAACAAACCATATGCTGATAGAGCTGGCCGCTTCCGACCAGAGAACAAATTTAGCACGGATAAGCTTTCGAGCCTCCATTCACTGCACAGGTCAGGCAGGGCGCCTTCACGGACTTTGCCATTTTCGGGGGATGACACTTCCGGCGCAGGGGCATTGGTGGCTGGCAATGCTACTCGGTTTGCTGCAGGAGCGTAGAGTATGACAATGAAGAGTCATCAGAGACATCAGCGCTGGAAGGTATTGCGGCGGGCCGTTTGGTCCGCCTTGCAACACCTGCACGCACTGGAACGCTGCTGGCACTCAGAGCTGCAGAGGCATTTTACCAAATTCAACAAGTAAGCATCCTTGAGCAACCAAACTGGAAGCGTGGGCCTCACGCCGACTTCAATGTTCTTTTCCGGAGGAGTGTCAGCCACGAAAGCCTACCCGCACAATCACTGAGGCGGCAGTCCGGAGTGTGGGAAAACGGCGAAACGCGCTGAAGCGCAACACAACGGACAGCAGCTCGACCTCTACGACCAAAGCTGGAGTTCACAGCGCCGCTGAACAAGGAAGGGCTTGACGGTGAGTACTGAGTACTGTGATGGCGTGAGAACGGGCTCACAGATCTTCCATCAATGACAATGCAGACAAGCCTAGACTTGGCGATGTCAGCAGCAGGGGGAGTACACGAAGGACACGTGGAGGCTTGGTGCCCTGAAGACTCCCGATCAATCTCCGCTGGATGAGGTGAAGAAAGCCCGCTGAAACACCAGACGCAAACACACGTGGCCAGCAGGTGCCGAGGGGGCCCCACTGGCCGCTGCACCAGGTGCCGGGAGGTCCGTGCCCTTGTCGGCGTCCTCAAGCGTCTCGAAGTGGACCCAAGATCATCCATGTGCCGGGTGAGGTCCCGGATCTGGGCCTGCATGTCCAGCTCTTCCACCACGACAGGCTTGCCAAAAAGGGAAAGGCCAAACGCTGCCGCGTCCTCAGCGCGCCGGAGAGCCGTGACTGTAGCCGCGTCCACCATTTCGTCAGCCGTGTCGGCTGGTTGAGCTTCAGTGAATGTCTCCACCATCAAAAAAGGACTCTTCCATAGGATGTGCCATGGCAATCGTCAAAGAAAAGTAAATCCTAGGAAAGCTCGGAGTCAAATCTTTGCCGGCAACACACGCGAGGTTGCCTTCCCACTTGAGCCAAAATGTCCCGGTGGGACATTTTAGTGAATTTTTGTGAACATAAAACTTGCAACCGCAAGCTCTATGCAAGTGTGAATGCAGCTCGACCTCTACGACCAAAGCTGGAGTTCACAGCGCCGCTGAACAAGGAAGGGCTTGACGGTGAGTACTGAGTACTGTGATGGCGTGAGAACGGGCTCACAGATCTTCCATCAATGACAATGCAGACAAGGCTAGACTTGGCGATGTCAGCAGCAGGGGGAGTACACGAAGGACACGTGGAGGCTTGGTGCCCTGAAGACTCCTGATCAATCTTCGCTGGATGAGGTGAAGAAAGCCCGCTGAAACACCAGACGCAAACACGCGTGGCCAGCACTGAAATCCACACTGTGACACCCAGCAAGGTGAGCAGAGACCAGGGCACCCCCGACGGGGTGCCGCGAGGGCGAGGGCCGACATGCCAAATGAAAGCCCAGTTCTTGGTCCAAGGTGGAGAGCCAAGCACCCACGACGTTCCCCAAACGCTAGTTGTAACAATCACACTTCGTGTTTATACCACCAATGTTCAAGAATCAAGGATTGAATCAGACCTTATTCAACTGAATTGTCTCATCCAAGTCTCATGTCCAGGAGCAGTCAATCTCCCCACCAGGCGTCACAATTGGCGAGCCATGAAATGGATTGTGACCTTGCGCTTGTGCTGTGGTTGCTGTCAAGTCATCACTTCATCAACTCTGCAATCAAATGGTCTCACTCCTGTGCACCCAACTAGTAACTAGTACAACGCAAAGTTTGTTGAAGCAGCTTATGAAGCTGAGGTTCTCCTTCTTGCTGAGATATTTGATGAATTCCAGAAGGGATCTTGAGCTTCAGCTGTACAGGAAAGCCCTCAGAGTCCAAGTGTATCAGCATCGCAAAAATGAAAATCGTCATTCTCCAGAGAATTTCCTTCATAGAGCCTTCAGCCTTCTATTAAAAAGGCCTTCCTGCGGCTATCTTTGTAGTGACACCCACTTTGAAGTCAAAGGAGTCAAAACGGAATCCTTTTAGGTCTAGGTAGTCCCAGCACCTTGGAGAGTCGGTGTCCCAAAAGTGTGTCTGTTAATATAACATTGATCTTCGGAGTCGGTGATCACTTTGTGCTCTTTGTTCAATTCAAGGTTCAAACGGCCGCTAGCCAAGCCAAGCGTTCCCCCATGGCAACGCACCGTGAAGGTCATGTGATCATCCTCCCTGACAGAGCAAACCTAAGGCCTGCATGGACATTTTGCCAAATTGTCAGTGTGTTTGCTCCTTTGCACAGATGTATCCCTGCATCAACTAGTATAACTAGACGTTTTCAAAGGTCATCCCAATGACGGTCAAAACAAATGAGTGTGGCACGTCTTCCAACTAGATCCTCTGTTGCGTTATTGTTCTCCATGTTTGTCATGCCCTCTAACTTGGGCAGCAAGCAGCTTCTCATCTTGTGTATATAGTTCCAAACAAAAGGCATCAGGATGATGAATGCTTCCACTGTTGAATCATTGAAGGTCTACCAAAAATGCAACATATAAGGACTACCTCCGCATGTCCGGGTGTTGCAGAAAGCCCTAGCTTATGTCGCCATCCTGAGAGTACCTGCCCCAAGCTTGTTGGAATGTGCCCACCCGACCGGTCGCCAACTTTATCGGAGCTGCGATCTCTCGGAGCTGTTGACTCTCGGACCCACGGCGCTGTTCTCCCGGATCTACCTTTGCTCCTAGTAGCGTCCTTGCCCCTAGTAGTAAGGCCGGGAGCCCCCCCAGGAACGTCCTTGCTCCTAGTAGCGATGCCAGGAGCCCCTAGTAGCTTCCCGGCCTCATGAAGCTCGGCCAGGAAGATGGAGCAATGAAGTTTCGCCAGCCATTCAGCTGGAACCCCCACCTGCATCGGGGAAGCTAAGCAACAGTGTCAGTGACTAGTAGAGCACACAATCTATTGTGTTTCTGCAGTGCCCCCAGTTGCCTCGGCCACTTGCGCCGATCGCAAGTCCCTATCAGGAAACAAAGGCCGCTCATTCTGTTGAACATTCCAGTCCAGGAGTGGCTCGCTCAACTGTTCGGCAATTGTTCAGTCAAGTCGGTGCCTTGACACATCGAAGCGGCTCACTGCACCTGGACGGCATGTGGTGAAAAAGCTGATATTGTGTGGCGAACCATGGCTGTGCACGGCTTTGACCACACGCATCGACATGTTCAAATTTTGAAGAAGCGTCTTCACGCCAGTCACCACGCCTTGGACGCCTCGCCCTGCTTTCAGGCGCTGCAGGCAAGCTTTGGCCACACCAGGTGCAAGTGAAGAGGGCCTGGCTGGCGAGCTGGAGGGCACGGTTTATTTTGGCACGATGGGCGATGGCAAAAGAAAAGTAGCTATTTGCTACTAGTAGTAATGGCCTCCAACCTAGAAGCGATGGCCTCCCCCTAGTAGCGATGGCCTCCAACCTACTAGCTTCTTGATCTTCTTGTTTCTATATATAATTACAGTAATAACAATATGCTGTGTTCCTTGTTATCAGTCTGATGCATCCCCACAAGCCCTTTCACAAGCTCTCCTGGCCGCAGGCGTTGGAGTGAGTAAAGCACGCTCCACCACCTTTCGGTCCACCTGCGTAATATCAAGGCTGATGATCATACAACCTGGTTCTCGACTACTCATGTAGCAGAAGATCTTGATTCACAATGACTGAAAGTTGTTTCACTCACTTTGCGTGCGACCATCTAGCATCACTTGGGACACTTGAAACCAAAGCGAAGAAAATGCTCCTGCCTCCACCGCAGGAAGGATCATGTCCATTGACAAGGATGTGTCAATGTTGTCCCCATAAGTTTTGGGGGTTGTTCCTCTCCATTAGGTTCGTGGGATGCTTCAGGAACTGATCCTGTGCAAAACCAGGGTCCGTTCGCAGCGCATGACAAGCCTTTGTCTCCGCACAAACCATGACCTTGTGACTCACATCTCCAGAGCTTAAGCCTAAAATGTACACAGCCTTTCTACATGTTGATCTTTGAATCGAATACGTGAGAATGCATATATAAAACAGGGCTGCAGGATCCCTCAAATGGTCTTGAAATGCAATTTCGCACACACACACACACAAAAATAGAAGATGCAAATTGGTTTGCACGCTTGAGTGACGTTTGCGTCAAAAGGCCAAGAATGCACAACTGCCATAGTTGAAAGTGGATGTTCTGATCTGCTGATTGCTACTTGAATGATCTTCTGCAGCCCACCACTGTATTCCAACTGTCGCTGTGCACGTGAAGTTGGTCGCCGCGAACTGCCAGTCTCAAACAAGGGGTTCTTTTGACTACCAACACTGCGGTTGTCAGCACTGCCAATGAACACCATTATTTTATAACCGATCTTGTTGCAGGTTTGGAAATCTGACATCATATAATGAAGAAATGATGAGAGACTGGCACAGCCACCCACTGTGGACCAGGGGTTAAACACCTGATCCCCATTCTGGATAGTTCGCTGTACACTCTAATGAGTGTAGCCCCAGATCCCCTGGATGAACATCACCTGGAAAAAAAGAAACGTAGTATTGAACTTTGTGTTCTGTGCCATGTTGTTTGTATTTCAGTTAATATTCATTCTGGATCCAAATGCCGGCTATAAACTATACACATTACAGTGGGTGCCAAGAATCCATGCACATACAGGTCTCATCTCATTTGATGCCTTTCCAATGAGAAAACTACATACAGCAACATGCTCAGTGCATCTCTACGTCTCTACGTGCTGACGTTGCTCACTCATCATCTCAGTTGAATGCCACACCTATTCAATGTCCTGCGGCACGGTCGCTGGCACCTGAGTTGGGCGAAATTGGTCACAGAAAGTTTGAACATGATGTTTAAACAAAGTTCAAATGAGCTGGCTCAAATTGAAAAATATATAACGAAAAAATATATGCGTCTCCAACTCTAGGGGTTGGCACTGTGTCTGCCTCGTCGGGGTTCGCCGCCTTTCTTTTGGGAGCCGGTTTTGATTTTGCCTCAAAAGCCAACAGCTGGGAAATCTGGTCGGGAAGCCACTTGCCATGTTAGAGCAACCCTGAGAAACATTTTGAAAGCGAGAGTTTTCCCTGAGAAGGTTGCAACAAGCACAAGTAAGCACAAGTGCCGGCCGGGCTTTAGGTTTAAGTTTCTGAAAGCGACACGAAGGGCCAAAGCGTGCTTCAGATTGCGGAGACCGCGTGAAGAGGCAAGCCCTCTGAAAAGAGCCGTGGGAAAAACAAAGCATTGGGCTAGCCTTGGTAGTGCACGACAATCGTATTACATATATAGTTATAGTTACTGTATTTACATACATACATACATGCATACACGCATACACGCATACATGCATACATCAAGGCCGTTAAGCTCAAGCAGGCGGCCCCGAAGTCCTGCAAGTGCGGAGCCCCTAGTGCTTCGTTGCAAGGACATTGCCAACCACCAGGAACAGGGACAAGACCACGTACCCCTGTTCTTTGCTCGCAATCAAGGAGAACATCTTCCACAAGTCCCATGGGAGTGGTGGAATCACCATAGGAACATCTCCTCCTGGGCCCCCACTCAGGCTGCCGTGCAAGAACTGGGGGTGTAGCTGTTCATGTATTGGGTTCATCTAACTGGGGCACTCACTTGGTGCGGGTAGACCTTCAACAGCATCTTGTAGTTCTGCCCGTTCTCTCTCTTGTCGATCCTTCTCAATCTCCTGCTCATGCTCTGCTAGGCCTTCTCTGGACTGGGCGTAGCGCTTGACCTCCTCAGCTTCCTCATCCTTGTATTTGAAGAACACTGACTCCAAAGCAGGCATCGCTCCTGCTCTCAAGGGTATGCCAGTCACTGCTCTTGGTGGGAATGATGCGTCCACCAAAGTTCGTCTGGTATTCCCAGCTGGCCGTCACGAAATTCTGGTAGTAGCTCAGGAAACCTGTCCAAGGCCTGTTGACCCTTCTTATTGATCTAGTCAACATGATCTGGCTGCCGTCGCCCACAATCCATGCATCTTGGCCGTCGGTCTTGCCAAGGAAGAGGGACATGCGCCAACGTGGATTTCCTTTTCCACTCTGTGGGCGAACATAGGCATACACAGGACATCCAAAAGGGACAACTGCACCTTCATAGTTTCTCCCATGCGCTAGCTCATAACTGGCAATGCCCTTTGTTGCTTGATATCGGTTCAGAAGCCAGCATGCGTGCCTTGAAGCCCAACTCCACAAGGTGTGGTTGGTATTGTAGGCCAAACCAGTCCGTTCTGTCACATCCGACATCAATGTACAGGCGAGTCCTCGGACACGCTGAATCGCGTTCTCAGCTAAGCCTGCTAAGCTGTTGCCTGCAGAATCACGAACTTTCGTGGTATACAACCTCGTTCTCAAGCCCATCGAGCGCCGGCTATTCAACACAATGTGAAGCAGTGACCTCATCGTGGGCTCGTTGTCTGCATAGAGGCCCACCTCCACATGTCCAAGGCTCTGGACGAACGTCATGATCTCTCGAGCCATCAAGCTGAGCTGTTCGTTTGATTTCAATGGGACCGAACCAAGGGCACCAGTCTGGCTGTCCACCATGATCAACCATAGAGTCATAGAGCTGGCTTGAGCTCTCGAATACGTAGCTCCTCAACCTCCTTGGCCTCATCCTCCTCGTAGAGATCAATGACCATCTCCTCTTCCTGCTGGCCTCGATCAAGCGGCTGTGGATGGCCTTGGTGTAGCATGATTGGAACGCCACTCAGCCTTGAAGCCCCTGTCCTCATGCCGATCTGGCCTGCCTCGATGTTTCAGACATGCAGGGCACCAGGGCTGATAAGGAACGCGAGTGAGGCAATGCTTCTCCTGCCCTTCACCTTTACCACTGCTCTTCTGCTGGCCTTTTCCTTGACCATAATCTGAGCCCTTTTGTTGACCCTTTCCTTTGCCCTTCGAATTCTTGGCATCCCCCTTTGCCTTTCCCTTTGGTGGTGGTGTAGGTATCCTTGGTCTTAGTCTTGCCCTTGCCTTTCTGGGCCGGACCACCTGAATCTTGACCAAGCATCATGGTTGAGCTCCATTTCAATGTAGCGTTGTCATACTGGATGGTTGCTTCTCGAAGTCATGTGTATAGTCCTGACTCTCGGCTACATTGAGCTGCAACCAGGTCTTCAGTTGGCCACTTACGCATTTCATCAGGGTGGCAAACTTCAGACTATCTTCCAGCTTGCTGCCTGTACGTTCGTACTCGATGAAGGCCTCCTCAAGGCGGAGTAGCTGGGTCAAAACGCAACCGTTCTTCATGTCGAACTGGCCCCATTCCAAAATCATGGTCAGGAGTCCTAACGACCGGTTCTTGCTGGTGGGTTCAAGCGATTGCACCAGCATTCGATATGCTTCCATGCCGTTGGCCTCCTTGACCTGCTTGATGAGGGAGAGTGGACGACGGCGAACAAGTGAAGCTAGCGAGGCATACAAGAAGGATCCTCGTTGCCGCTCCTCATCAGTCTGAATCGAGGGATCGGTTGGGCGCTCTGGATGCTCTCTGATCTCCTTGATGTCCTCGACGAATCCTGCATCCAGGGAAGCTAGATATTGTTCTAGTCCCCAACTGAAGTCTCGCCAGAGGGCGAGCTCATCCTCCCGGGACTTGGGCTCATAGCTGCTGGGCTTCGACAAAACTTGAAACCAGGCACGATCATCTGAGCTGCTCTTTTTGTTGATCGCCTCAGCGGCCAATCGTGCTGCTACACTCGCTTGCTCAGCTGCTTGGACCATCCTCATGGCCAGCTCCTGCCCATCGAACTGCCCCCCTGTCGGGGATCCTGCTGGCGACCCAGCAGGTGACCCAAGTGGATCTCCACAAAAACCTGCCATCCTCCTCCGCAAGGACCTTCTTGCATATCAGGAGGTAGACCCCAAGGAACTTGGCCGTCTTGGAGCCACTGGCAGTGATTGCCGAAATTGCGGGCCACGCCCACCGGGTAGGGTCCTGCCGGGTTCCCAGAAGTTTCCCTGGAGCTTCAGGCAAGAGCTTCTGCAATTGCCATCACCGGCTCCGCTACCATGCGGAAACTTCTTTGATCGCGAAAGCGGTCTGCGGTCGATGTGTACACTTCTCATTTGTGCGTGTCATGTCTCCGACATGGTGCATGAGTACTGTTCCTCATGCTTGCCAAATATCAAACCTGATATCATTGAAAAATTCTTAATAAACCAATTGTTTTAGTGAAGAAGAAGAATTAGAATTCAGAGCTGCTACAAGGTGCTCTATTTGTAGTAAAAAGTTCTACCGGCATAGACCCCAGATAGCACTTCAAGAAAAGTTGGACACCGTGGCAAAAGCGGGAGATAAGCTTGGGAGACATCCCACTCAAAGCCGGGAAAAGGATGGAAAAGGTAAGCAAGACCTAAATCATCTTATAATAGCATCCGCGTCAAAGGCAGGCAAGAAAATGACAAGGCGGCAGCGGCAGCCAAGAGCGAAATCAGGAACAGAGACAAGCTTAAGAGATAAGGCGGCAGCGGCAGCCAAGAGCGAAATCATGAAGGGAGACAAGCTTGGGAGACAAGGCGGCAGCGGCAGCCAAGAGCGAAATCAGGAAGAGAGACTAGCTTGGGAGACAAGCTGGCAGCGGCAGCCAAAAGCGAAATCATGAAGGGAGACAAGCTTGGTAGACAAGCCGGCAGCGGCAGCCAAGAGCGAAATCGCGAAGGGAGACAAGCTTGGGAGACAAGCAGCCAAAAGCGAAACCATGAAGGGAGACAAGCTTGGGAAACAAGGCGGCAGCGGCAGCCAATTTCCGCAATCCGGAACCCATCCATTGAGAAGTAAGAACCCCTATAGCTTCTAGCTATCTGGGGAAAAATGATGAAACAGTTAGAGATGCCAAAACACAAAAGAAACAAAACTGACCAACTCTTCAGAAGTCTTGTCTTGGGGAAGGTGTCCAAAAAACTAACAAATACAAAACAAAACAAGATGGAGCCAACGAACCCGAATGCAAACACATATGTCAATCCACTGTGTATAGAAAGAGACACAGCCGGTCAGATTATCTTTTTGACACTCCGGTACGCTGTTGGACATCATGCGCTGGGGACTCCACCACCAAGGCAGCATGTGCTGGGGCCTTCACCATCAAGCTCCGTCTTCGTCATGAAGGGTCTTCGTTTTGCATTCAAATCAAGCACTGGCGTAAAGGTTCTGGCAGATCCACATCACGAAAGAAACAATGGCATTGTCCCAAAATCTCGAAAAGAAGCGCTTGAAAATGATAACCGTCCACATAATACAGAGAAATCCACAACTGCGGCGTCTGATCTTCTGTGAGACACTCTTGTAGGACACTCTTGTAGGACACTCTTGTGGCACTCGTGTACGACACTCTTGTGAGACACTCTTGTAGGACACCCTTGTGGGACACTGTTGTGGCACACTCT